CGTTTTTTAATAAAAATAACAAAGAAATTTCATTTATTGATTTTTTTTAAAAATAAATTAAAAGTGCCAATGTGATCGATTTGATTTTCAAGCGGATTAATTTGTATTTATGAAGATTTATCTTGTAGTTTTAGCTTTAGGATAAGTTTATTAATATAAATCACAAGATTAAGCAAATCCAAATGCTGTAATATTTATAATTAAATACTTTGATTTTCATCAAATTTCTATGCATTATAGCATATTGCTAACTGAACATTTTAAAATTAATCTTTTTAATAATTATTTCATAATAATTATTATATCATTCCTATTAAATCAAGTTTATCTCTTTTTCATGGATGATAATAATAATTAATAGTTATAATTTATTCCACATATGCAGGATATTCTAAGCGTTTATATTCAGAAAGGATGCACATGTTTCTAAAACTTTGAATTAAATGAAGGTATCGCTGAAACTCTTACTTAAAACTGATTCAGTTTAATATTCATCGTGTCTTTTCATTTCATATAACTAGTGATGAAATGTTATGATATTTGAAGTTTCATTCTATGAAATGCATTCTCCACACATCTCTAAACTAAAATTAGAAAAAACATTCCACTTATAAATAAATACATAAGTTTATATCCTGGTAGATCTTTCAAGAATATATTCAATACAAATTAGCCCAAGTGGACTCACTTTAATTAGCTTATATGCAAGGAAGGCAGCGGTGGATAGCATAGAATAACTTGCTTATGTCAATGATGCGGTATTTAGAACTAAATAGAAAATTGCCCTTTAATTGTTCCATATATTGAAAAAATCGTTAGACATATATAATTTTATGTAAAACAATTAGAAATTTATATAGAAAGAGTGATCACAAAAAATAAACAAAGAATTAGAAGTGATGGGCATTAAGAGAGTAAAGGAATTCAGATATTTTAGAATTTGGATAGATATAAATGGTAGCTGATCGCTGCATCACAAAAAGACCAAATCATGATTTGCAAGACAAGCAGGAAGAAGTAGAGGTATTCAACAATTCTATCAATGAAACATCAAGTAAAACTGTGGAAATTTACATTAAACCATATTTTGATTATCTCAATAACTCGATTTGTTTGAAAGACAGAGACAGATATGCATAAAAAATGGCAAAACCTCCTAAAAACACTAAAGGGTCTGTGATATGGTAATTGCTACCCCTTTCGTAAAAACTCAATTTGGTAAACTGGAATTTAATCCAAAATGTGAATTGAAAGATAATAAACCTTTTGAACCCTTTTACAGATTTGACCAGAAAATGAGATTTTAAATATGAGTATAAGAAAAGGTACAACGAAAAGAGAAAGGAAATCAACTGCTATAAGTTCTAGATTATGAATTTTGCATGTTGTTTCTTAAGTTTCCTATACATATTTTTGATTTAAGATATTTATGTATGTTATTTAAATTAATTAATATAATTATTTATCATTTAATCACTTTTAATATGTCAGAATCACAATTAAAATTTAATTCTATCATTTAATATTAACAATTAAAAAATTATAATATATTGAATATTATTTAGAAATAACCAAATACAAATAAAATTAACTATGAATTTCACTAAATAAAACAAATGTTGAGATTTGACAAATAGTTATAATACTTCTTTTTTTGTTTCAAAGGCCTCAGAAAATTGCAATTATTTAAATCTTCTTGTACTTAACAAAATTTAAATTTTATTTAATTATTTGCAAAATTTGCCATTTCAATATATTTATTTAAGCTTATCTTTTCTTCTTTCATATTAATAGAAGTTTGCTTTTTCAAAAATTTTTAAGTTGATGATGTCTAAAAATAATCAAGTCTTTGCCATTTATAATTTAGAAGCAAAGTGTCTTGAAACCTAAGATTTAGCAAAATCGAAATTTTTCTGAAATCTGTATCATTTAGCTAATGATATCACGATCCAAATATAAAATGAATTGAAGATTTAAATTGATATTTAAAGCAACTAA